TCTGTTTTTTCTCCTTTTTTTCTAAAATTATTAATCATTTTACTTTTGAGATATGCACACACACATATACATATATATACATTTTTATTTATTTATTTATTTATTTATTTTCCACAAATGGCTACTTGGGTGTTTTACAAAATATGAAATAAAATAATATATATATACTGTATATATTTCTCTTCAAAAAAAACAAAAAAAAAAGTAATATGCATAAATAAATTTAGGAAGAATTTTTTTTAATCCATATATACACACACACAGCATTTTATTCTCACCAGTGGCCTTCTGGGTGGTTTTTTTTTTCAGATATTTGCTGATTTTTCTGGATTTTGTTAGGCAGATCAGCGCTGATAGAGTTTGGCCACCGCAGCAGGGTTAACGTGAGCATGCTGAGAATTATGTCAGAGCCTATGGAACAAACAGGGAACGTCTAAAGGCCAGGGCTGGGTGTGAAATGGCAAACAGATGCTTCAGAAGAGGACGTTTTCCCACGCACCCATCTGACGACTGAGCAAGGTGCTGACAGCTTCACGTCAGCATCTGGGAACGAATCAATGTGAAGTTATACGACACATATATCAGGGCTCGAGGTGTCTGAGGAGAAGTGCAGACAGACAGAAGAGGGCAGAGAGAGACGGCGAGAAACAGAAAGAGACTAACACTTGATGTCTGGATATCGTCCAAACTCGCTTGCCCCCACCCCCCACCCCCCACTTCCCGACTGGCCTGAATTCAAACAGATTCATCCCCACATTACAAGCAGAAAGCACATCTCCTCCCGCCACCAAAGGAAACCCATCTGACATCCAAGAAGATCTAAGAGACTTTGTATTTTAGCTCTCTCAGCACGATAAGAATTGCAACAAATTGTAACAAGCAAATTTGGCAAGTTATTTGCTAAAACACAATTAAACGACCCGTCACACAGGGTCAACGTCAGCTCATGCTGAAGGCACCTCTGAATCCCTCAATTAGCAGTCGACATTGCGGACTGAAAAGCATTCCTGAGTCTAGAGCAACCACGTCCAATGCCTTCAAATCTGCTAACAACAAAGAGTTAAAGATGTCTGCTGTGCTTCCTCTTGTAATTGTCTTTGGCAGGGCTGAACTCTGGGGAGGCAGTGGCCGCAGCCTCAGAGCCTGTAATTTGACTTTACCAAAATCATTTTTGAGCTTAAACAATGACTAACAGGTGAGGAGGAGAGCCAGAACACCAGATACTTCTGCTGTGCTTTTAAACACAGAATTGTTAACAAATGACAAGCAGGGATTGTGGTACTCAGTGTTGGGGAGTAACTCAGTAAACGCAGCGACATCACAGACTTTACTACCTTACTCAACTCTTGCTGAAAACTATCAAAGCTTCTCATTTACTACATTTACATTTATGCATTTTGCAGATGCTTTTATCCAAAGTGACTTGCAATGCATTTAAGGTTTACAAGATATAGAACTAATATTAAACTGATATAGAACTCATATTTTTCTAGTTTAATTAGTTGCATTTAGTGTTAATTCCTTTGTTCAATTATGTCAGTAATAGTGACTGCATGGTAAACTGTAAACTACTGTAAAAATGCTACAGAAAAACTGTTAATAGGTTAAGAGTAAGTTCCCGTAATACATACAGGGGAAAACTGTAAACGATCTAACTCATGTCATTTTTACCATGAAATACTGTTAAATGTACAGTTTTCACAAGTAAACATTCAAATCAAATTATAATTTACAGTGAAAAACTCTAAAATGGAATTACAGTTTTATACTGTATTTTTACAGAATTATTCTGGCAACCATAGCTGCCAGGATTTTTTTGTAAAAACAACAGGATTTTGTGTTTTTGCACCAGGTAAATACTCTGACTGCTCTCATTTTAGAAACAAATAATCTTATATCCAAAGAGGATACATATCTTTAATACTCAATTTCACACATGAAACATTAAAAACATGTTGAATTGCATTAAAACTGCCTTTTATAGCAATTGTACACATCTGATATTTACACATATTGGTTTTATTCACACATCAGCACCAAATAATGTTGAAATACTTTTGTTTATGTAAGGGAAACAGGTCAATTTAGCTCAAAGGGAATCATTTCAGATTTTAAAGGGAATTTGGACAGAATCACTGTTTTACGGCTGATCACTGAGACGGCCAGCGATTCATTGAACGAGCCGTATAACATCAACTCTGCAATGGATATTAATATCCAAAGTATAGTGGAAACACTATTTATTAGCACAGTAACAAGATCGGCAGTTTAAGACATTAACTTGTAAGCACAAAACACAAGATACTTCTCTTTTCAATATGAATAAGACTTTATTGGATAAATCTAAGACATATAAACTAATCTAACACATGAACACACGCATTCACAGGTTAAGACTTCCGTGTCACGATCGTAACTATGGCAACCAAAACGAGCTCTAGAGGGCTAGCATGTGAATAGTTGCATTGCAAGTACAGTTAAATCAAGGGTCGTCCAGCGAGCCGTGACCTCAGTATATTTTAACAAATTGACTATGTATCTTCCCCGGCCACAGGTCAATACGATTATGATCATTTGTAAGCTCTTAGAGAGGTAACAATGATCTTGGCAAAGGTTTTAACCTTAAAATTATATGACACCAAACAATGATTAAATCTTAGATTGTCTAATTCGGTCTGATACCCTACATTTACCATAAATTACCATTAAACAGCAGTGCAGTTATCACTAATTAAAACTAAGACTATATATATATATACACACAAAATATACATAT